TTCTGACATCTGTCTCCGAGAGGACGACAACTCTGGTGCCAGGGGTAGGTTCGCACTACTGTACAGCTCGTATATGCCTTCATGAAAGCCACCATCATGACTGCAACCGTCGATGTGTTTGGGTGACACTGACAGGTCGCAGCCGGGCACGCGCTCGCGGATAGGGAGGGTGAACCTTCGTGGGGTAGGATCAGCCATGGTGAGGTGGTAGGTAGAAATCAGTCTGCAGAGACGTAAATCAGAGATCGATGTCAAGCGGCGGTTCACGATCGAACTAGGGCTCGTTTAGTCGCATGGCAACGTCAAGAGTGAAGTGAAGGTGAGGTCGGCACATACAAGCAGAGATTACGTTGTGAACCAAGTCTCATTCCATACCCGTTGATTGCAAGCCGCACTGCATTGTGGTACGCTCCCAGGCACCTGATTTATCTACCCCGAACACCTATGAAATTACGGTTCTATTCTCGCACTTGCCCCAACGCTTGTGCGTCTTTCCTGGCACTCCGCTTAGCTCTTGCCTCCGGAGATGTATTTGTGAGGTGTCATTCCCAAATTTTCTCAGTGTTCGTGACAATCTTTGCGACTAGAACGTAGTGCCGCTTTTTCCCTTCCCTTTCTTTTTCTTTGACTTCCTTCTCGCCTGCACCTCGTCAGTGCGCGTCCTCAACAGCTTGTCAGAGAACTTACGCTTCACGTCCCTTGGGTATGGGCCATCCGGATTCTTCTCCACTGCGCCGTTGGTTGCGCCGCTCTTGTACTTGGTAGCTTCTTCGTCCGTGAGCTCGACAAGCCTAGGCGTGCTGTTCTTCTTCCTCCTCTGCTCTGTGGACTATACTGTCTTTGTTCCGCGTTTTGGTGGGACGTGGAGTTTCATCTTGATGAATGAAGAGGGTGGCGGGGAGTGTAATGAGTTGATGCGAGAAAGACGGGGAAGAGTTCTGTGTGTTTGACGGCTTGCTGTGTTTATCAATTGTGTTTGCTACTTTCACTTTGGGCACGACACACCCGAGAAGCCCGTGTGGGCTGTCTCACATACTCCTGAACATTTCTCGAACCGACCGGCACAGAATTCAAAGCATTCTCCGAGCAACTTTGCCTATGCGGTATCAACGCATTAAAAGTAGTACCGTTCTTGCTCTTGCTCTTCTTGCCCCTCGCCTTGTTCTTGCCTTCCTCAGCTTAGCGCATTCTTGGAATTATTCGTAATAGACATGAAGACCACTCACGCTTGACATCCCTAGGATGTGGTGCCTTTGGCGGCTCACTGGAGATGGCCTTCTCGCTCATCGCAGCTTCCATGCACATGACTTGACTAGACCTCACCGCAGGCTTTCTGTTATCGTCAACGATCTTGTGGACAATCCCTGAGCGGTCGGCTTTGCAACCTTTTGGAACATTGTTCCAGTTGGCATCCGCGGCCATGGACTGGACCTGGTCCTCAGTGAGATCGTAGCCGTCGCGCTTGACGATGTGGCGGAGGAACTCATCAGTCGGGATGTTGTTGACGCGGTTCATGGCGTGCGTGATTTCGTTGAAAGAGACCTTGTGGCTTGGGTCGAGAATGCGCTGCACTGGTGTGCCGGACATGTCGGTCTTGGGGTTGTTACGAGCCATACGAGCAAGGTACTGTAGGAATCGGGAGATGGGTGAAGCAGTCGACCTTAGCCGGTGCGGAGATGTTTGTTTGCATCCTTGAGCGCTAGCCACTTCTGCAGGTTGCTTCCACTTCATGCAGCCTCCCGCTTGTGCAACATTTCCTCACCGTACCCTGGTACCTCTGATCAACCATCTCTCTGACACGACCCAAGACTGCCATGCTCCGCCTCTTTGCTCTGGTTCTTGCGTACGGGTTCCAGTTTCTGTATGCGCACCCTAGATGCCTCCACCTCATCAGCTTTCTCGATCACGTCTTTGGCGATAGCGTGCCATCCGTACCGGGCTTGACGTAGTCGGGCAAAACGACTTGCAGCTTTGTATTCCAGGACACCCGATGAACCACTACTCAAAACAGGTTGTGGTGCCTTTTGAGATAGAGGTAAATCGCGAACCTTACTTCGTGGCAGGAGTCAACAACAGTCACAAAGGGTTAGTTGTCATCTTACAGCGTCATTTGAGGTCGCCTTTCCATTCCAAGATATAACTGAAGCCGTGCCCGATCGAAGTTATGTACAGCCTCCAGCCTCGCCGTGCTCGCCCTGACTGTCCCCCATCCTCTCGGCTCTAAGCGGTCGCCCCTCTTGCAAGATGGTGACTGCGCATGGCTGCAAGGAACACACCCAAATGTCGTCTCACTAGCGACATTACGAACGCCTAACCATATTTCTCTTCTGGACCACCAATCGTTTTCTTTGGAACTACCAATAGTCTTCCTCGAGTTTGCGGATGTGCAATTTCTGCTCGCGACGGAGTCTGTGGCGGAGTCTGAAGAGCTTCTTTCGAGAACTTGACGATGTGATACTCGCATGCTGTCCAGTAGTGATAATCAGGATCGTCCTGCCCCTCAGAAAGGTGGTCCGGAGCCACTCCCGGTCTTGTAATGATGAATCTCTTGATAGCGCCCACCCCATTACGCTCTCGACGGATCTCCGGCCTATAGGATACGTCGAGCAGACCGTCGTCCTTCGATTGAAGCTCGTGAACATCTTCCAGTTCTGATCCTGGTCTCGGATACTTCTGATCACCAAAATGGATCTTTCGCCCCTAATCGCAGCCAGTACAGGCTGGACGCGCTCATACAAAGAAGGACCTTGGATGGTGACTGTCTCGAGTTGAGGGAACATCGCCGCGGCTTCAGCGTATAGGTTCTTGGACGGATGTGGATCAGGTAACATGAAATGGATGTTGGACGGCTTTAGAACAGGTGCCAGGAAGCGTCTCCAGGGCGCATCTTTGTCGGCTTCGTCGTCGTAGCTATAATGAGTGACAGACAGACTGAGCCTCGTAACAGCGTGCCTCATTGCGGACAAATTTGGTCTCGAGAGCACGCTAAGCATGTTGAAACCAATCGATGCGGCGGCTTTGATTTGGTGACCATCACCGAGCTCTCGGCGGAGTTTCTTGCAAGCCCATCGCAATGCGAAGATGCTGACAGGACTGTTGAGACCTGATGGGAAGTCTGAGCAACGATGTGCTTCCACTACCGTACCATCCCAGACGGGGTGTGCGCAGAGACAACGCGAGCGCGTGTCCACCGCGAGGCAAGGTGTCCATGTAACTTTCCCTTCCTGCGAAGAGAATTTACTCGAGTCATGTATCAACGTTTGGTGACTTCCTGAGCGAATGACTCGTTGGAGACCTCCGGCAGCTGTTCGAAAATGAATGTGCACAAGTGCTGTGTTCCAGAGGACGTCGTAGATGGCGGGTCTGAGCTCTACTGGCAGTCCTAGTAGTGATGCTGGTGGAGACTGAGGGGCGGGCTTAGTAGTGTGGCGCTTCGATGAATTGTTGAGCATGTTCGGGTCTCTGTTCCTCTGCCTTCATAGAATGTTTTGCCGACTCATCATCGGGAGCAGGCCTGCTTCGCTGTACGATTGGCCATGAGCTCGGGTCGCGCGAGAGAATGCGTGTCTCAGACTCAACAGAGGGGCTGTTATGCCTGTGAGTGTTTGCAGCGCGTCGTGAATGTCTGCTGTATGTATGCTCGCGTGCATCTGGTCTGTCTCGCGGCTGTCGAGGCATGATGGAACGTTATCTGGAGGCGTGAGAGCAATTCCGAGGTCGGTCCTGCAACGCGAGGTAACGCATTGTGTATAGGAGCACAAGCCTAACCAAATACCGCGACTGCGTTCATATTAAGGTGCGTGGTCTGAACCTTGGATGTAATTACAAAGTACTGGCCATGGCTGTTTGTTGCAGTTCGACGCGTCAATCAAAGCGGCCAAGATCAACGCGCCGCGACTTCCTCATACCTTGGAACATTCAAGAATGGATTTCGACTACAACTGGTCTCTGTACTCTCCTTGAACCATACGCCCTGTACGTTCTATTCTGCATCAATGCGACCCTATAGTAGCAAGAATTATTGTGAGGGGCGCGGCCTCTAGCACTGTGCGAGCTGAAGTATGGAACGCCGATAGCAAGCTTCGGTGAGGCGCCCCATCGAACACCTCAAACCTCACGCTGGCGCTACAAACTTTCAATGCACCATAAGCCATGACAACGCCATTTCGACCGTCATGCTTTGGGAAAGTCATTCTTAGGATATATTTATCTTACGAATTGTTTTCTTCATCAACAGCACCAACTCCGGTATAGTCCAGAGGCTAGGATATTCCGCTTTCAATCGATCACTCGATCGAAGCACCGGAAAGACCCGGGTTCGATTCCCGGTACCGGAAAGTCATTATTGTTCAGTTCAGAGATATCTTTTTGGTGTCAAAAATGGCCTGGGTGACCTGTATTGTGGGGTAAGCCCGAAGCGAGCGTTGGGCCCAAGAGAACCAACCAGTCCTTGCGTAGCTCGCTTCTTTTTGCAATTATAGAAACTGGATCCTCATCCCAAATGGAAATTTCGGGTGTGTGGCGATGAGGTACATTCGCTCGGTTGAGCTTCACTGCTTCAGTGAACAAACACTAGCTACTTGTATATATTTTTACAGCCGGCGAGCAGTATATTAGATGCCGTTAAGCGTCACAAAAACAACTGCAACAGCCATGTCTGCAATTACAAGTGTGAAGGACTTTTGTCAGAGAGTATGTTCAGTTGCAAGCCTCGCATGAGACTTCCATCACACAGACTCTCCAGAACGAATATAATAGAAGCGTTGAAGTTTCTTTTTAATGTAACCTGGGAAGCGTGCTGAATGCTGGCGAGTCTAGTCTCGCTTGAGGCTTGCGTTGACCCCGCAGTGGATCGGCATCTGTTATGCAGCCCTCAACAACTCAAGTCAGACATCCAAGCCTACATTCGGACGATCTTCTTGTTCCTTGAACTGATGTGCAAGCTTTACGCATCACAATATTATACGCATATTCAGACGATCCACCAATCAGAACAACAAGGCACGGTGCCAGAGTGGTTAATGGGTATGACTCGAACGCTCTAGCAAATAGATATCATATGCCTTCGGGCGCGCAGGTTCGAATCCTGCCCGTGTCGAATGATCTCATTTTTGGCCGCTCGATCACCTCGAGGTGGCGAGGGAGTGGTTTTAGTGTGAGTGTGGTGTTGATGTGGTTTGGGCTGAGCGGGTGTTCGTGGACCCCCAACAACATCAACCATGATTAAAACTTTTTTGGCTTTGTGCGGTAACGCCTTTCTCTCTCGTGTGCCACTTAGAAATTGGTTTGTTATTGTTCATGTTGAAGTGTCGAATGCGAAATGCTACGCTGATATGGTTGTTGCGGTTGAACCTGGAAACACAGATTGACGTACTCAGAATAAGTAAAGCGACAAAAACAGTCGATGGCAACTTCGTAAAAGCAAAGGCAGACATCGTGTTAAATGGGAAATTCTGAAAACCGGGTGGGTGCGTAAGATACATCGCGCGCAAAGAAGACTTAATCGTGCAGGTGATAGCATGGTGCGAAGTATGAGCAAGTGCAAGTGTAATCTCTGGGATCAGATAGTACGAATCTTCTGGCAACCCTTGCTCTGTTGGCCTGCTCCTGACATGTGTTTGCTGAGCGCCATTGGCTGCCTTAATGAAAATACCATACCATAGATATGTAGTGTACTGAAACAGGTGTGTTGCACAACTTATACTGCAACCCACAAACGAAAAGAAACGTACCTGGCATGCATGATTTGTATGGATCTCGCCTTTTCTGCATGTTGAAAACCTGGTCGCTCTTGCATTCAGATGAAATCTGTCAACAGAACCTGGAGGTCTTCAGGGTCTTGGCCTGTCAGCTCCTGAATTTTTACTTTGACCTTCCAGAAAATTATTCCCAGTTTGGGAAAGAAACGCCCAACAATCTCTTCCAAAAGAAAAGGGAAGGATAAGTGCTCTGAATGCCTCCTGGCTATGGTTTCAGCCTGTAGTTCATTCCTGACCATTCCTTGGGCGCGAGAGGGTGGTTGCGTCAGCCGCGTGACAGCGTGCAAGCGCGACGCGTCTGAATTCCCCACAAGAACTCCAAGCTTCCTCCAACAAACATGTCGCGCAACACACCACCATGACAACAGCTGCACCGCTTGCGATCGAAGCGGTAGGAACGCGACCTCGCCGCCCACAACCTCGACCTACCAAACCAGCGCCTTACGAGCTTGCAAACCACTCAAAAGCGTTCATCGAGGGACTGCAATGTATATGCTTTCATGCGAGATATAGAAGAGCTTTCTTTTTTGACACGTGATAGTCGCCAACGCGTACGACTTCCTCCACAGTCTGCTGTCAGCTGGCACCTCAATATCGACTCCAGCACAGCCGTACGTTGGCTACCTCCCACCGCCCTCGCAGATCGCGCTCGCCGCCTCTCTTGTCCCGCACAAATTCAAGTCGCCCTCAAGAGAGACCGCGCGAGGCTCTGACGCAGCGTTTCGCTACCTACAATGTCTCTTACGCACAATAGAAGACCCAACATACCCGTACGTACGGCAGGCTTTCACTTTTCCTGCAGAACGCACACGTCGACGTCCTCGCGGTCACAGGAACACGACTAGAAGTCTGTCTCCTGACGAAGCCGACGACATCGACCACCTCTATTGTGAGGCAGCCAACGACAAGAGCCTTTGGTTTAGAGCAGATGATTTCTGGCACGTTGTTGGCTGGGCGTTGAACTGCTCCGCGGCATACAAGGCACGATGGGAGAGATGGAAGCTGTGGCTGACGATCATGCTGGACTTCTTGGAAAAAGACTGGGATGTCTGTGTCCGGCAAAGCCAACGCGATGAAGAAGAGCAGGAGGTAGTCCTACAGCAGAGCCTTATCTGGCTGTACATCGCTGGCGAGGAGCAGTCAGTGACACGGACGACGCGTCGGCGCATAGCCAGGGCGATCTTTGCAATTGCCTCGCCGGACTCCCTCAAGGAATACCCCGAGATCTGGGAGAATGAGGCTGAAGAACCCCAAGAGCCGCTAAACAAAAAGCAGAAGCTCGGAAACGTCGACTTCGAGACTGGCGAAGTAGCAGACTATGATAGTGACGAGGAGATGAAAGACACACCGGCGCCTGTGCGATTCACACAAGCAATCGAACGCAAATCTGAAGCCACGCCTTTGCCTGATCTGCCTGACATCGACAACGGAAGTCTCGATCTGAACGCTGCTATCGAGCGACTAGGCGGCAGCGACGCAATAGCACTGCGGCAGCGTCTGCTAGCCTTGGTGAGCACAGCAGGAAACCATAACTAGGTTATGCTAACAACATGCAGATAGCACGAGTCGCAGAAAGACTACCGAACCAATTTACAACGCTCAGTGATTGGTTCGACAACGTCGTGGAGGACTTTCGATACTTGCCAACAATGCTGTTTAACATCTTCCTCATCACGCTGGCAGTGCTCGGACCAATGAAATACTCGTTCCTGGCCAACCTGCTGATACCGTTCGTGAGCGGTACAATACCAGACTACTTTCGCTACGACCCCATGCAAGAGCATTTCGAGTCTGTCTTGCTGTCGATGAAAAGCGGTCAGAGCTTCGCGGCCAACGCCAAGGTTTCACTGATTCTTGAGCAGCTGTTTGTGCTTATGATGACAGACGATCAACTCAAAGCGACCGATGCTCTGAGAGAGGCCATGGAGACTGGCATACAAGCCAGGCTCAACGCATACGGTACAGGCAGAGGAAAGCGAGGAAACGCTGGTGAAGAGAAGCAGGCACGAGAGCTGATGGAAGCTAGCTCCAACCGACTTTTTGGCATGTTAGAGATGCTCGAGATCATGGCGGGGAAGCCACCGCAGAAGAAAGATCTTAAGAACATCTTGACATCTTTTGGGTCTGGTTCGCCACTCTCGTCAGCGCCAAGCGACATGGGAGAGACGGAAGAAGAAGAGGACTAGCAGTCCCTGAAACCCGGCTGGCGATGTGCTCTTTAGTGACAATCTCGTCAAAAGAAAATGTCCGATATAGCTCTTATCGATACCCCTGTGCTCACGAGCACATCATTACCATTCTTCGGATCGGAGGGTCCCAGTCATCCTGCTTTACACACCTTCCTCATTGCCCTTGCCCTTGCCCCAAACTCCCTCCTTCTTCTCGGCGATCCACTCACACTCATCTGCACGCCCGTCCAACTCTTCCCAACCGTTGTCCTCCATCTCTTCCAGCCTCTCGTTTTTCTGTCTCAGCCACTGCCACTGCAGCACCATCTGGCTTGTTCTGATCACCAGCGTCTTCTCACTCCAGCTCCCCACCTGCTCGTCTGTCAATAGCAGATAGTCATCGAGGTGCGTGACATAGTGCTTCATCCTTTCCCTTACACCATACGTCGTGAACCCGCCAGCCGGCGCAGCAATAAGCGTCGGCCAGACATTCCCCATCAGCTCCCTCCTCTTGTATCCCTCATCTCCCTGCCTACCGCTTTGGTTATGCATTCGGGTGTCGACAGTCTGCACCGCACCTCCACTTTCAGTCGCGTCAGGAATATTCGGCGCCACAGAAGCAACACTCAGATCCCTCTTTCCCACCGGTCCCTCACCCAGTTGCCACTCCCTGAGCATATCATATCGCAGGACCAACCTGATCGCAAGTTGCTTCTTCTTGTCATACAGCCGCGCCATAGTTGCCCTATTTTCCGCGATCTGCTCAGGCAACAGCGTGCGTGTGACGAGGAACACGAGCTCCTGGAGCAATGCGCGGCGCAGCTCTGCATCAAGACCAGTAGACGGTCCAAAGGCGGTCACTAAGATGGCAGGCCAATTTGTGCTCGTGCTTACCGGACGGAGAAGCGTTTCCTTCACCAGCGTAGTGGACGAGTGCAATGTGCCCCATGACAGAACTGCATCGAGTGAGGCTTCGAGAGTGCCGGTGAATGGGCTTGGGACTGTGGGTGCGAGGAAGTAGTGCGGTGGCAGCTGGGTTGCTTTTGGGGGCTGGGTTGGTGGCGCGTCGTCTGTGGTAGAAGTTGCGCGTACACCGCGTGTACCTGAGCGGCGTGTGGCAGGTGGTGCGGGTGAGGGACGCGGTGTGGGTTGTCCGTCATCGGACGCGATGCTGTAGGCACGCGAGTTGCGGCGGGAAAGGGCGATCATTGTGACGTAGTAGTCGGATTGAAGAGGTCTGGAAAGTCTGAGGGTGTTGTTATTGCGTGCGAGGTACACTTTGTACGTCACAAAGTGAGAGGTGAAGGCGAGTGTAGGTTGCGTTAATTGAGCGTAGAGCAAACGGTCTGGCGATTGGTCTGACGTCAAAGACAGCCAAAGCTGGGCTTTCACCTGTGTAAGTAGGGTCTTTGGTCGGTTCCGCTCAGCAATGTATTGTGCTGGTCTTGGTTGCAATCATCTAGGGAGTCTCGATTCGCTGCCACGCTTGAGCTACTGGGGTACACGCCTGCGCTCACTTGTCATGTCTACCTGTCTGGTGATGGTGATACCAGACTCAGGTGTCTGAGCTGCCTGTCGAGCTCCAGCTTGCTTCCAAAGCTCTTCCTCAGACTCTGTACCTTTCACATTGTGTTCCAATCTAGTGATGCTGCCTCTCGACACCCTATTGTTGGATGACTTCAGGGACCACATCCTATAACTCCTTGACCGCGAAGATCCAGGCTTCGATCCCGCCGAGCTGCCTCTTGTCACCTTGTTCCAAAGCGCTTTCAGGGATGGGAGGTTGACTGCTATAATCGCCAGCTGAATTTCAACGGCTGCTACGATGACCATCTTGCCGAGTACATAGGAAACATCTGGTGACGAGTTGAGCTCGAACAGAGGTATCAGACGAAAGCATGCCACGAGAACAGCAGATGCGCCGAAGCTGATGACTGAGAGGACGGCGACTTTGCGGCGAGTCGACATTTGAAGGTTAAGGACTGTTGAGATGGGCAACACGAGGATGTAGATATCTTCGAAAATGTTCTACGTTCTTTAGTCAGATCAGAGCTAGCGGTTGTATCTGTACGCACCAGAATAGAAGGAACGATCAAAAGCACCAATTTCGGCAGGCACTTTGCGTCCGGATGAGTACCGGGGTGAAGGATCTCGTCGAAAGGTATGCATTG